CTTATGTTTATGCCTCCTTCGCTCTTATGCTCTTGGGATGTTGAGTATTGCAGAATAGCAGAAAGGAAATACCGGTTTGTTTGACTATGATTGTGTGGGTTTGGAAATGTGGAACCTTGTGCTATGAATACTTCCACCACCTAAAAGGCCTTTTCCCCATGTCCAAGACCCTAGCCAGTCATTTGAACCTGTGTCTAAGACCTCCTGATTAGTTAGTGATGACATTCTATATGTGAACTCTAGCATTTAGAGGCTGCCATCATGGTAAAGAGATGTTAGGGATTGAGAGAAATAGCATGCGCATTTTTCGCATCAAATTGTCCTGACCCCACTGGTCGAGAGTGAGTGATTCATTTTCATATTCTATATACTCTTGTACCCCGGTGAGGACCTAGATTGCTTGGTCTCTGTTCTGATGTCTTGGGTTGGATGCATGAGTTGACTGCTTTGAGTAAGTGGTTGAGTCAAGTCTAGGTTGGATGGTGAACAGAAGGAAGACTCTTCCTTTACTCAATTTTGCTGCGCTTGAATGTCCTTTGTGGTGGTTGTCCATGTTGCTATTGAAGTTGTTCATGTGTTGATGCTTGAAAACCAGTACGATTCATGTGTTCTGTACCTTTATGACTTGTCCCCAATGTTGGTTGATTGAAATATGTAGGCTTACCTAGTGTCTGACTTGGTTTGCTTGGGGACAAGCAAACGGTTAAGTGTGGGGGAGTTTGATAGACCGTTATTTACACATGTTTTTACCCCCGTTCTTACACCGTTTGAGGTATTGATTCTTGTGTTTTAGGCCGATTTCACACTAGGTTGTGCTTGTTGGTGATATTTCAGGTCCTAGTACGTGAATGGAGGCTTGGGAGCGAGTTTGGGGTCGATTGGACGAAGATCGGACGCGTGGCGAGGTGCTAAGGAAGCTGCACGGCCACACACAAAGACCACACGGCCGTGCAACTGACAAACCAGGCCGTGTGGGATTGTGCGAGAGCAAACACGGGCACAAGTAGTTTTCACACGGCCGTTCAAGAGAGCAAGGTGGCCGTGTGATTTCCGCCGAGAGCAAACACGGGCAACTCAGGAAATCCACACGGCCGTGCAACCCTGGCCGTGTGAGATGACTGAAGTTCGAACTTAATGGTACGCTGCGTTTTGAGCCGCACGGCCAAGTGGGTGAGCCACACGGCCGTGTGGGTTGGAAAATTTTGGTTTTTCAGCCAATTTCGAGCCAAAAGTGGGAGGATCGGATTTTCAGAGCAAAAACAGAGCCCTAGAGAGAGAAAGTATGAAGAACACATCCTAGAAGCTATCTTGGAGCTGGGTTTCATCGAATCGAGCTTGGAGATCGTCATAGGAGTGGAAATCATCATCCCGGAGCAGATTTTCCTCATCATTATGAGTATGACTACTCCGATTACTGTTTTCTCTTCTCTCTCTATGGAGTAGAACCTTTCTCTCACTTGGGTATGAAGAACCCTAGTTCCTTGTGTTAGGGATTTGATTGTAATGACTTGGGATGATATTACTGTTTGATTTTAATCGAATGATGCATGTTTATTGAATTGATTGAAGTCTGATCAGCTTTTCTCGATTTCTGCTGCAACCTGAGATAGATAGAATCTGATTAGGTTGTTAGAGCCTCTTCATTCAATAGTAGGAGATTGGCTATACGAGAGTTAGCCAGTTTACTGCTTTGTACTAGAATTCAATTCCAGTAGTGGAGTTCTGTGCTTATTGCTTCAGCTTTCTATCCCGGTGAAGACTAGTCGTCTGCCGGGAAGATAAACTGAGAGGGCTTGGTCAGCTTAAGAGATTCCAAGCTACTGTCGGATCTTCCGCAGTCTAATCAGCAGTGAATCAACCCAGGAATTACAATTGAACCTAACTAAGGGGCTAGGGGGACTCAATCCCGAGTGACTCTTTCCTGACTTTGAAAACCGAACAATTTACTGCTTTCTATCTGCTTTTGCTTTAAACAACAATCAATCGAATTAGTTGGCTAGATAATAGAGAATCACGGAGTAAGCAGTAGATCTAGACCCCGGGTTGATAATAGAACTTGCCTGTTACTGCATTCCCGGACTGCGATTACACTTGGTCGCAGTTTGGTGTTGTGTTTTGGCGTGTCAGTACTCTTGACGCCCCCTTCCCTGAAATTCACAATTACCTCTGGCTTTTATCAATTCAGCTTGGGGGAACCAAGAAATTGAATCGATTGGGCGATATGCAGGGCTGTCGTCGATGGCGAAGAGAGGGAGAGTGGTGAAGTGCTCGGCGGAAGGAAACGGAAGCAATGGCAGCGGGTGGGAGAAGAAGGGGATGATAAGCGCTTCGCTAATGACGGCGGTGGCCGCAGCAGCTGTGTCGAGCCAAGCGGCGATGGCTCCTCAACAGATGCGAGTAGCTGGAGCGTTAGTAGCGACCTTCTAGAGGCTGAAGCAGAGAAGAAAGAAGAAGCAGGGTTCGTGGCGGCGGGGGAGACGGTGGTGGCGGCGGCAGTAGTTGTGCTTCTCGCCGGAAGGGAAAGCCTCGATCATCGACAACCTCTTCGCCACGGAGATCGTTCGCTGCACTCCCAGACGCGATCTCCCCAGTCGCAGCAGAAGCGGGCCGTCACTGCTTTCCGCCACTGACCACCAAAACGCCTGGTTGTCTTCCCATGAACTCAGCAACAGCCGGCCGTCAGCGCCTTCCTCCGCTGAACACGAAACCGTGCCTCCCTCTTACCAGAATTTTCCGATGGAAACTGATTCTCCTCCTGTCCTGCGGGTAGGCGAAAGGATAACGTGGGAACACAGTAGAAAAGGTGGGCTTATTTCAGCCAAACGAAAATTAAATGAAAAATAAATAATAACTAAATGATAACGTGGGAAACCAGGAGAAAAAGGTGGGTAGTGGACGATTCTTAGTTCTGCAATCTGGCGGGGAGTTCTATTTTTTTCCCGCTCAACACCCTGCCACATCAGCTTCCTAAAATCACTCTATGGACAGGAAAATTTGAATGTGGGTGGCAGTTTTACTTTTCAGCTATAAATTATACTGTTGATTAGGATGTTATTAGATATGGTTACTAGTTATTTATTTTAATCATGTTTATTATTAAGATTTTTTGTTCGATTAAGCAAAGTTAAATAAGAAAAGTATCTTGCAAATCCAAATCTCCCCATCCTCTGAACTCTCGACCTCAATCTCTATAAAGGCCTAAATCCTCAATTCTCCAAACCGATAAAAAATCTTGTTTCTATTAGAAAACTCATCCAAATCTATTGGGCAGAGTCCCTGCGGCCCATGCAGTCCGCACCATGCAAACGTGTTCCAAGGAGACTCTTGCTCCTTTTCCTTTGCGCACTTGTTCTCGTTGTACAACCCTAGCAACGTGTGATAAATTAGGGTATATAAGCAATGACGGAGCCTCGTTGGTTCCAAAAGGGGTTATAGTCCCCTCAACTTCTAAAGTTAGGTCAATTTACATGTAAAAATGTACCAAATTTGACCCGCACTAATGGCCATGGTTCAAATCCATCAAGCTTAATTTTTTTAGCCCCCTTATTCGAATTTCTGGCTCAATCATTGTATATAAGTGCATGTACGGTGTTAGCCAGAAATTCGAATTTGGCTTTCTGGATGGAAGTCTTCCCAAGCCTAAGAACAATTTTTTTAGCCCCCCCCCCCCCCCTCATTCGAATTTCTGGCTCAACCAAGTAATAATAACACTAGTAGGTTTTTCCATGGATGTATGCCTCACACATTACGAGGAAGAACCACGTCAAACAATCTTGTCTTTTAGTTCTCATTCAATTTTGCTTGGTATCAGAGTTGGTTTGTCCTTGAGATCACGTGTTTAAGTTCTCACGAGTCTCAATATTAATCCGTGTATGAAAGCACATGGTATGCCAGACCTTTGCAAACTTCAAGCCCCTGAAGCGGCTTTCGTTTGAGGGGATGTGTAAGGAAGTGGTTAAGCATTATACATGGTCTCCACTAACAACTCGAGTTATTGGGACAAGTTGGTTTATGACATGGTATCAAAGCGGTAAGGTCTAACTCAATTATCCGTCGTTATCATCGACCATGAGTCCCAAAGAGGAAGAATCTTTTTTGGCGGTAATTATGTAAAAACCCGAAGAAGGTTTTCCTTCCGTTTACTTGGTGTCAAATTCGGATAGTCCAGGAAATATGCTCGTTAGTGACATACTGGCGTCGTCCAACTATGTGGAGTGGGTCCTCAATATGAAAGATGACCTCATTGCCGAGAACAATTTTAGCTTTGTGGATGGAAGCCTTCCCAAGCTTAAGACGCCTGACGAGAAGGATGCTTGGATCCGATGAGATGTCATGGTGAAAGGGTGGTTGAAAACCTCCATGGACAAGGAAATTTGGAACATTATCCAATTTGTCGAGCATGTTTTCGAAATCTGGGCTGATCTTCGTCAACGGTTTGGTGAAGGGAGTGTTTCTCGAGTGTACGCATTGAGGTGGTTGAAAAAACATATTGTCTCCGCGTTTTACACCAAACTGTGCTCGTTGTGGGAAGAGGCCACAACCATAGCGCCTTTGATATGTTGTACTTGCAACCACTACACATGTGGCGTCTCTAGGAAGGTACGCAAACGGTAAGAGAGGGCACGAATTTTCATTTTTTTATGGGGCTTGATGATGGGTTTGGAGCTCTTCGGTTCCATATGAGGAACCTATTCTCGTGAACAAACACAACCTCTACACGCACCTAGGGACACCCCTTCCTGCATTGATTAGACTACCCCTCTACCCGAATGCTTCGCGGCGACTTCTTTACGACGACAAACGACCGCCCGTAGGGGTTTTACATCACAAGGCCCCTGCAGAGGATAAGTTATTTCCCATCAAATAGAAGATGCTTAGCTCTGCAAAACATAGAGATTAACACGCTTTTGGGAAGAACATATAATAGTAAGAGATCCAACATGCAGAACACGACAATCTTCAGAAATTCACGAATTAAAGATGTTGTAATCTACTCTTTTTCATAACTTCTCATACCATACCAACCCACTAAAATACAAACAGTTATAAAAATGGTGGTTAATATCACGAAGAATAAAGAAATATCGTCTATACCCAATATAATTTATGTTCTCATAAGAAAGCCATCGAAGGCTTTCCAAAAATTGAGATTTGGCCTTACAAGGATCGAATTGTATCAAAGGAACGTGGGAATACAAAAAAGTAATAAGAGATGCACAAAAACCAATCAATTGTATCAGTCGTATTCTTGGATTTGGAGTGAAAAGAGGAGTAATGCTTCCTAGCACGTCCATCAATGCAAGTCGGCGTGACTACTTAGTAGGTAGGTGGCTTAGGTCCACCTGTATCGCTTATTGAAAAGTAATGAGTTTTAAAAAAAAACTAAATGAAGAAGTAGTAGATTCTTTCTATTTTTTAATTCTTTATCCATTTATAAAAGAAATAAAGGACGACGACTTGCAAAAGACGAGTAAGGATGGGGAGGGGAGGCTTTCGAAACCATACGAGACCAGAAAGAACATGGGAATCAACTCCATTCCTATGAGTATTTTTGTTTAGAAGAGCCAACAAGGCAAAGGGACAACCCTCTCTCTATCTTGGTCTCGGTTTAGCATCATCATATATCAGGCCAGAAACGAGTTTTGCCCGCTTTTTTATAATTGACATGTTACGTCGGGTGTGGATTTTGTTAAAAACTCACCCTGTTTTATCACATTTGAATGGTGTTAAAGAGTTTTGGGTATGTATTTTAATTAATAAACAATACATATCATTTAAACCTTCATTATTTCATTTTATGACAATTGAACCAAATCCATGGGTATTCGACTCATTCAAAGTGATTTGAACCCAGTGTTGGAAGGATTTTAGGCAGCGAGTGAGTTTTACCCACTTTTTTAATTGATGGGTTCGATCGGGTGTGGATTATGTTAAGAACTCAACGCGCCTTATCAAAATTTGGGTGGTGTTGAGGAGTCTTGAATAAGTATTTTATCTGCTTTTGTAATTGACGGGTTGGGCTAGGTGCGAATGTTGTTAAAATCTTGGTCCACTTTTCATTTGACATGCATATAAAAAGGGTTGGCATTTTATATCCATCCACTATTGCAAATTAACAAATATACCCTCTACTTTGTTTTTGCACAAACATATCCTTGTATTATGAAAATAAAACAAAAATACCCTTCCATCCAAAATTCCATTTGCTGATAGTTAAAGTAAAGAGAGCAAAAAAGTCTAAATTGCCCCTTGCTCATAATATAAATTTTTTTTAGTTTGTTAGAAACAAAAAACCAATGTTGTAAAAAACCGGACCAGACATTGACCCGAATTTGCAAGAGGTTCAAGGTTTATCAACAACCGGTGGTTAAACGGTAGTACAATCCAGTCATTAAATAGGGGACATATAATTTGTCAAAAAGTCATGGCCTTATGATATTTCAGAAAATTAATACCAGCTTTTAATTTAAAAAATCTATATCTCATTTGTATATTGAATAGTAATACTTGATATTAGAAATTATTCATATTACTTCTAAATCAAATACAAATACGTGGCAGGTATACAACATAATTCATAATAGTAGACAACCAAGATAGAAACATCAACTAATAATAAAAAATTAAATTTGAAGAATCCAATACGTGAAAGGTATATAACAATAAATTAGTCGTTTGGTAAGCACGTAATGTAGAATTCATGTATTTGAAGAATTCATGTATATTGTAGGTTGAGTTGTGAGAACTTGTGTAATATTAGAATGCATTGTTTGGCTTGCATGAGTTCATGGTAGAACCCACATAATTTGGCATGAAATCTCAAATACTTTGGGTAAACCCAAAGCATTTGAGATATCATGATCACATGATGGTGGACCCTAAGAAATTTTTATTTTATTGGACGGAAACAACCCCACCCCGAGGTCACTCCGGCCACCTCAGGCTCACTCCGGTCACCGGGTCAAATACCTTGGGTCACCTTTGGGTCACTCCGGCCACCCCGGGGTCAAATAACTTGGGTCACCTTGGGGTCACTCCGGCCACCCCGGGGTCAAATACCTTGGGTCACCTTGGGGTCACTCCGGCCACCCCGGGCTCAAATACCTTGGGTCACCTTTGGGGTCACTCCGGCCACCCCGGGGGTCAAATACCTTGGGTCACCTTGGGTCACTCCGGCCACCCCGGGGTCAAATACCTTGGGTCACCTTGGGGTCACTCCGGCCACCCTGGGGTCAAAGACCTTGGGTCACCTTTGGGTCACTCCGGCCACCCCGGGGTCAAATACCTTGGGTCACCTTTGGGTCACTCTGGCCACTCCGGGGTCAAATAACTTGGGTCACCTTGGGGTCACTCCGGCCACCCCGGGGTCAAATACCTTGGGTCACCTTGGGGTCACTCCGGCCACCCCGGGGTCAAATACCTTGGGTCACCTTTGGGTCACTCCGGCCACCCGGGGTCAAATACCTTGGGTCACCTTGGGATCACTCCGGCCACCCCGGGGTCAAATACCTTGGGTCACCTTTGGGTCACTCCGGCCACCCCGGGGTCAAATACCTTGGGTCACTCCGGCCACCCCTGGGTCAAATACCTTGGGTCACCTTTGGGTCACTCCGGCCACCTCGGGGTCAAATCCCTTGGGTCACCTTTGGGTCGCTCTGGCCACCCCGGGGTCAAATACCCTGGGTCACCTCGGCTACCTTGAGCTCTCCGCCCACCCCAGGTCACCTCAACCTTTAGCCGCGTACCCCCGCAACGTGTCCACCGACCAAACCACCAAGCACTCGAAAGAGACACGTACTCCCTTCATGTTCGCCTCGGAGCCTCTATAAAAGGCCACTTCGTCTCCAGATTGAGGTAAGCAAAAATTCCCCATGCCTAGACTCGTAAACTCGCGCTATGATTAGCGCAGATATTCATTCTCAACTCCATTCCCTCATCTTTCTTTTCGAGGTCATATTCCTCTCCACTCAACACCCTCACTAACTTGAGCGTCAGAGAGTGTCCCCGCCGAGATCGGCCGGCGGACCCTTTTTGCAGGAGACGACCGGAGCTAACATCACGAGTGAAGTTCGAGGTGAAAGGTGGCCGTCGACCGACTCCGGTGCCCAGCATAAAAAATTCTACGTCGGCTACAACCCTGGAATCAACAATTGGCGCCCACCGTGGGGCCCCGGAGCAAAAGGTTGAAGAAAAAAAAACCAATCGCCACTACTTCGCTCATGATGGAGTCTCAAAGCTCCCTACACCCCCAACCTGATGGCGGAGTTCGAGACAAAGAACCAGCTCCTCCACCATCTGTTGAAGAGCTTCAAGCCCAAGTTGAGCAGTTGAAAGTCCAAGTCCAAGCATTGACATCAGCTCCTCCTCCAACCCATGGGCTGCATGCCAGCTCTAGCCACCAACCGGAGACCACCGGAGGGTCAGCCTACCCCAATGGGACGTCAATCCCTCCTCCACCTCCCCAACCAGGGGATCTCTCATACTTAGAGGCCCACCTAACTCCCAGTTTCATGGCGGACCCTGGGCACGGCAAGCCTTTGGCCCGTTCAATCCTGGATCAGCCCAACCCCCCGAACTTCCAAATGCCTCACCACCTTCCAGAATACTACGGCACTTCCGACCCAGAGGATCACCTCAGTGCCTTCCAGATTTTGATGCCTTTCGTGGGGGCATCTGACGCTACCATGTGCAAACTCTTCCCCACCACCCTCCGGGGAGTGGCATTTTAATGGTATACTCAGTTGCGAAATGGCATAATCACCAGCTTTGAGGAGTTCGCCACCCTCTTTCGAGCCAAATTTTTTGTCCAGAAACGGCCAAATGTGGACGTGTCTCGCCTCATGAGCACTAAACAAAGAGAGTACGAGACCCTTAAGGAGTATTACTCTCGATTCAGCACGATTGTTGTCGGGGTTACCAATCTAACCACGGAAAATGCAACTCATGCTCTCGTATTTGGAACAAGCAACTCTCTTCTCCGAGCGTCACTCATAAAGCGGCGTCCCCCCAATTGATGGATCTCCAGGAACGGGTGTCCAAATACATCGCCCTTGATGAAACCTTACAAGAGGCAGCTCCCCCAAAGCGTGCTCGGTCACCGCAAAAAAGGAAACGAGAACCCTCACCTCCACATCGTCCAGACTCACCAAAGTCTCGTGACCATCAACAAGGTCGTTCTCCGTCTGGCCAAGGCAGGGGGGCACGTTGAGACAGGAGTCGGGAGGAGTCAATCCCTAAGCCTGACCGGACTTTCACCCCACTAACGGAGTCCCGCAAGACCATTCTTCAGATAATCCAGGAGAAGAAGATCCCCATATCCTGGCCAAACCCCATAACAAAAGAACCTCGGAAAGGGAAACACAAGTACTGTGATTTCCACCAGGGATATGGCCATGACACCGAGCGATGTTGGACATTAAAAAACTACATCGAAGACCTGGTACAGGAAGGTCACCTGAAGATATACATTGGGAACCCGGAGAGCCGCCCTCAAGAAGTAGCACCGGCAGATCGAGGAAAGGCACCACAGGGCGGTGGGATACTCGGAGTCGTGGATGTCATCCACGGGGGCGCTGGTTTGAGCAATGCTAACGGAAAGCCACTCTCGACCTGCGGTCAAGCGATGGTGGGGTCAACCTCCTCTATCGCGGGGACTCCCACAATTTCCTTTGATGTCAAAGACTTGGACGGAGTCACCCACCCCCATGATGACCCGCTAGTAATTGAGGCTGTGGTTGCAGACTACAAGGTCAAACGAATCATGGTGGATGGAGGTAGCTCGGCGGATCTCCTGTTTTACCCTGCTTACCTCTCCCTGGGGTACCGCCCAGACCAATGCCGGCCCGCCAAAATTTGCTTGGTCGGTTTCTCAGGAACTCAGGTACCCGCCGTGATCGGGACGCTCCCACTACGTGTTCGTGTTGGAGAAGGGGACCAAATTGCAGAGACTATCACCAACTTTCACATCGTAGATTGCCCATCAGTATACAATTGCATTCTAGGGCGACCTTTTTTACATCAACTCCGAGCAGTCCCCTCCACATTCCACCTCCGCCTTAAGTTTCCAACAAACACTGGCATTGGATGTGTTCGGGGAGATCAAGCTCTTGCCAAACAGTGTTGCACACTTTCTTTACAAAAGAAAGCAGTTGTCAACATTGACGCCCGAGAAGAAGGCATTCGTCCCGTTCCCGTTGACCCCGATGAGGATTTTCCTATCTCCGAGGGACACACTGTCCGCATATCTACATCATGGCCTCGTGAGGCACTCCAATCTCTTTTGACACTTCTCCAA